ACCACGCCTGGCCAGCCATCTATCTTTTAAACTTATAGTCTTTGTATTATTTGAAGCTTCAGTGTTTTGTTTTATTTTGCTTTTTTGTTTTGTTTTTGTGGTGTTGAAGTTTAACCTAGGGCCTTGAGCAGGCTAGGAAGCACTCTACCACTGAACTACATCCCCAGGCCACAGGCTTTTTTGTTTTAAAGATTATGCTGGTTACTTCAGACTATAAACTGAAGGTCAAGAGGAAGAGAGCACTTAACACCAATGTCCTTAAAACCAGGACTGACTTCAAAAAACTGTGACAGTATTTGGATACTGAGAAACATGTGGGTCTGTGCTTCATTCATTCATTTAATGTGTTCAGTATTTACATGACTGACACTATAGGAACTCAGGATAGAGAATTATATAGGATGTTTAAATGAGACAAGTGGCAAGGAATAATGAAAAAGTGATACAAGATAATGGGGTTGGGGGAGCATGGGTAGAGAAGAGGGTACAATTTTAATTAATACTCCACTGAGAGACCTTGGATTTGGAGGAGGTGAGAAAATTAGCCATTGAAGACTATTCCAAGCAGAGAAGGAGATTGCTGTAAAAGCGCTAGTATGAGGGAGTATCTGGTCATAGTAGGAATATCAAAGGCTGATGTGGCTAGAGCTCCAGAGCCTGGGGAGAATGGGAGGGAACGAGGCTCGAGAAATTCCTCTTCCGCACTGCTCCATGCTCCATGGGTGGGAAGAACCAGTCACTGCTCCTTTCTCAGAAGGCATCAGTTCTGCCCAATTATACCTAGGCACTGTTTAGAAAGAAAGAAATGCTGGTCTAATTCTCTAGCAGTTTGGAAATTGCAGGGAGTTGGTAGCTAAGCCATTTTGGGTCATTATGGGAATGGCTGGAGGATGGGCTTTGGAGCACTAGAGTAAAACCACTGATTTCCATCTCCACTGAGGAAGACATCTAATTATCTTCTCAGAATACCTTTGGGAGAAAGAAGAAAAAAAGAGTCTTAACACTCTCTCCACCAGTGAGCAGTTGTCTTCTGACCTCTGTGTGCATGTCATATGGCACATGCCTCTCTCTCTCTCTCTCTCTCTCTCTCTCTCTCTCTCTCTCATACACACACACTAAATAAAATTAAATAAATAAATAAATGTAATTTTTAAAAAAGAGCTTGTATTTTTTTTTACAGTAAATAGAGGGCTTGAGAATTTCCTAAACAGGGAGCTGGGGGATGGCTCAGTTGGTAAAGTGCTTGCTGCATAAGCATGAAAATTTGGGTCAATCCTCAGTACCCATGGAACTCAAACTTCTAAAACTTAGACCCTTTCAGAATCCATAGAAAGAGCTTAAAATGAGAAGTCCATCTTGTGGACCCTCTCATGTTGTTTGTAAAGAAAAGAAGCAAGTTTGGGAAATATACCCATCAACTCACTGCAGCTAAGATGACCTACATAAGACCAAGTCAACAAGATCAGTCAACACTATTTGGACACAGAGGGTTATTTACAAAGGAGAGGATGGAAGGAGGGAAAGAGATGTGTTGGGAAAGCCTGGGAAAAGTGAGAGGGGGGAGGTGGGAGTTCCTGGGAGGGGTGGAAGAGGAAGTTGAATGTTGTTGGGGGAGTTGGGGGGTGCTGGGGAGTGGGAGGGGAGTTTGGGGTGCATATGATGAAGATACATTGTTTATATTATGGAATTATCAAAGAATAAATAAAAGCTATTCTAAAATATTTCATTTATTATTTTTATTTTTTATGGGTATGAGTGTATTGCCATGCGTGTTTGTGCATCCGTGTCATGGAATGTCCTTGGAGGTCAGAAGAGGACATAGGATCCCCTAGAACTGAAGTTATAGACAGTTAGCTGAGAACCAAACCTGAGTCTTCTGCAAGAGCAGCCAGTGCTCTTAACCACTGAGTCATCTCTCCAGAATAAAAGATACTCTATTTTTTTTAAAAAAAAAAAAAATTGAGACAGGGTTTCCCTGTAGCCACAGCTGTCCTGGATTCACTATGGAGACCAGGCTGACCTCGAACTCACAGAGATTCTCCTGCTCTGCATCCTGAGTGCTAGGATTAAAGGCATGTGCCACCACACCCAGCCTCTATTTTAAAACTTAAAAAAGAAGAGAAGCAAAGAATTAGGTCTCCTAGATATGGTGTGCATATCTGTAATCCTACTACTCAGAAGGCTGAAGCAGGAGGATCGTGAGTTTGAGGCTAGCCTGTGCTACATACTCAGATCATTTAAAGACTAGTTCTCATTTCCATACATCCCTAGCTACTTTCTTTTAGTTCCTTCAGTAGGCCTGGCACAGGCAGGTTAGGAACTAGTTCTTAGAGTTTTTCTTCCCTTTCAGCTCTGAGCTCTGGTTCTTGGTTTTAGAGTCCTTGCATGGTGACCCTCTTCATATTACTTTAATTAACTAATTTTTAAAAAATATTTTATTTATTATTTGCTGGGCATGGTGGCACACACCTTTAATCCCAGCACTCGGGAGGCTGAGACAGGTGGGTCTCTGTGAGTTCAAAGCCAGCCTGGTCTGCATAGTGAGTTCCAGGCCAGTTAGGGTTACTGGGGTCCCTGTCTCAAAAAGACCCAAAAAACATTTTCTTTATTATTTTTATGTACATGAGTGTATTGCTTGCATATATGTAAATGCAATGGTGCTGTGCAATGCTGCCGAGGTCAGAAGCGGGCATTGGATTCCCCTGGAACTGGTGTTAAGGACAGTTAGTAGCTGCCATGTGGGTGCTGAGAATCAAACCTGGGTCTTCTGCAAGAGCAGTCAGTGTTCCCAACCACTGCACCATCTCTCCAGCCCTAATTAATTAATTTTTAAAGTTGTATGTATATGAGTGTTTTGCCTGCATGGATGTAAGTGCACATGTATGCAATGCCCACGGAGGCCAGAAGAGGGTGTTGGATCCCTCTCAACTGGACCAAACCTGAGTTTTCTGCAAGAGCAGCCAGTGCTCTTAACCTCTGAGTCATCTCACCAGCCACTGTTTGTTTGTTTTTTGTTTTGTTTTGTTTTTTCTTTTGAGACAGGGTCTCAGCTGCAGCTGGGCTGGAACTCACTGTGCAGACCAGACTACCAGGCTGGCCTCCATCTCAGAGATCTATTTGCCTCTGCCTCCTGCGTGCTGGGATTAAAGGCGTGTGCCAACACACCTGGCCAATGACCTAATTTTTAAGAATGTAGTATACCGGGGCTAGAGAGATGGCTCAGTGGTTAAAAACACTGGCTGTTCTTGCAGAAGACCCGGGTTCGAATCCCAGCACCCTCATGGCAGCTAAGAACTGTCTGCAAGTCCGGTTCCAGGGGATCCGACAGCTTCTTCTGTCCTCTGCAGGCATTGCACGACACGGGTGCACTTGCCTACATGCAGGCAATATACACATACACATGAAAAAAAAAAAAAAAGAATGTAGTATACCAGGATAATACAGAACTAGCACTGCTGAGAAAGAGCTGTTTGGTTTGAAATAGCTGTTAGATTTGGAAGCACTCTGTAACTCCACAGCTAAGCAGTTTTATATATCAATTAAAATTCACATGGAAACATCACAAAATTTTAAATTCTTAATGAAATATTTGCATGACCTTCAAGCTCAAAACCTCCAGAATGAGGGAGATTTGTTTGCAGCTTGTTTGTTTGTTTGTTTTCAGGTATTTAAATAACTAACTTGGTCCTTGAAAAGGAGGATGCAGAAATCAAAGGCCCGATTGTGCTGGATCTTTTTCTGTGATCTTTATTCAGCCTGGTTCCCAGCAGGCTTGTTGCCGAAAGAAAAAGATCCAAGTTCTGTTTAAAAATCAGAGACTAAAGAGCTTGCTCAGCATCCTGCTCACATTAGTTGTTTGTATTCACTACTTGAAAGTCTTTGGATAGCTCCTTGTATGCAGTGACCTCAGTCTTCTGGGAATATTCTCAGCATATAGGAAGCACCTCTCTGATGATGGTGAATTAAATGAAATTAAATGAATTATGATGAATTTTTTAAAAAAAGCTTTTTGTGGTGTTCCCTTTTCTTGAAGGACTCCTCAGACAGCAAGATCCTTATGTCTGAGACCTGGGCAAGAATTTCACAAAAGTTCAGCTCCCACCTCCACAGCTGGTGGGAGAAGAGAAGAATGAAGCCCAGTGTTAATGCCCATCTCCTCTAACTGGTGAGGACTCACTCCTAGATGGACATAGAGTGATTTTTTTTCTTCTCAGCATCCACAAGAATGAAGTCATATGCATAATCTATTTGAAATAATATTCCTTAGCAATTAGGAGCACTGGCTGCTCTTTCAGAGGACCCAGGTTTGATTCCCAGCACTCACATGGAGGCTAACAACCATCTGTAACTCCAGTTCCAGGGAATTCGACGCCCTCCTCTGATCTTCACCAGCGCTGCATAACATGGGTGCACCTACCTACATGCAAGAAATAGTCATACACATAAAATAATAATAAATAAAACTTTTTTTGGTCTTTTTGAGACAGGGTCTCCCTGTAGCCCCAGCTGGCCTGGAACTCCCTCTGTAGACCAGGCTGGCCTTGAACTCACAGAGATCCACCTGCCTCTGCCTCAAGTGCTGGAATTAAAGGCTTGAGCCACCATGTCAGGCCTAAATAAAACTTTTTAAAAAGAATATTCCTGCAGTTTTCCAATTCAAAAGTCTCCTGTTTTGCTGAGACACAGGAACATTAATAGAATGTCAACAAAGATCAAGAAAAGCAGGGTTTTCTAAGATATAATGGAACTGTGTCTACCTTTTGTGTATAGTAGGAAGTGATTTTGGAACAGAATAATAAAGCAAAACTGGATAACATTATCTAATGCTCCTTGATAGGTGCATAGGTAAAAATGGCATTTAGTCCTTAAGGTACGACAACCAAGCCAAGCGTTCGACAATCCGTGTGGCCCTGAACGCAAAAGCATCTCTAAAGACTGCAGAATGGACAATAAGCTAGCCTGCCTGTGGCCCCTCCCCCACTCCGTTCCCGCGGGATTGGAGTAGAGCTGGGTAGCTGACGCCATCCTCAAGCCTCTAGCTTGCTTGTATGGAGCATGCGCTTCCTCCTCCTCACTTCCTCTCCTGGAGCTAGCGGAGTAAAGCTGAGCCCCAGACTGTGACCGCCCGGCGCAGGAACTTCAGCACCCGCGGAGCGGACAGCGCCCGCTGCACCTGCCCACCTGGCGGAGTGCAAAGCGGCGCACCGCGTCTCCTCCACCACCACAAGCTGCTTGCAGGCCCGGGCCCTGCGCCTCTCCCTTGGCGCTCCTGCCCCTTCCTGTTTTTCACTCCCCTTTCATTCATAACAAAAGCTACAGCTCGGGGCCAGCGCCAGGCTTTTTCTGAAGCGGAGCGTGGAAGAATGGGGTTCCTTTGGACCGGCTCTTGGATTCTAGTGATGGTGCTCCACAGCGGCCCAATTCAAGCTTTCCCCAAACCCGAAGGCAGCCAAGGTATGTGGACACTTTTCTGCTTACGAACTCCCTTTTATTTGGACCCGTGAGCTGTCTAAACCTCCTTGCTTCGTTTTTCTGATTGGATCATAACCCGGCAGAAAGACAGGTAATTGATTTGACTTCAGGGACAGAAGACGACCTTTTCCTCCTTTACTTTTTAAATGACAGAGCAATAACATAGACTGTTTCTAAAGATAAATTTTGAACAAGGGAGGGGTGCCTTTTCTTCATAAAGTGGCTTGGATTTTTTTTCTAGTTATTTTACAACCCTCCTCAGATAGTCTATTCATAAGATACAGGGTGTGAGGAACGCTTTCAGAGTGCCCCAGTGCTGATTCGTGTTGCAGCTTTCTAACTGAGAAGCGATAAGAAGCCAAAAGTTAGAGCCATATGTTAAATTCTGATCCGAAAATAAAGTGTGATTAGGTTTAACTCGGAAAATACCCAAGTCTAATAAGCACAGCCACACCGACAATCATCATGTGTACTATTGCCAGTCTTTGCTAATATATATTTTGTTTCATAGCCATCCAGATTATTTCTCCGAATATCCGTTTTTCTGTTTTTTTTAAAAAAGATTTTAATGAGAAACCTATTTTACCTCCCAAACGAACAATTAACTTTACACTTGTATGTATTCATTCCAGACAAATCTCTGCATAATAGAGAATTAAGTGCGGAAAGACCTTTGAATGAACAGGTAGGTTGGAAGTAAGATTAAACTGCCAAGTCATTTTACTTTCATTATTGCTTATTGTAGTTATGCTGTGACATTTTAGCCAGTTTGAATTTACAAACTTCAAGAAATTAATTATAAACTGACAGGAATTAGGACAGGAAATCTAGTTTTGGTAATTAGATGCCCTCACAGTTATATACATAGAGTTGATCACATGCTAACCCAGTAAGACCAATATCACATCCACTCATAAAATTGCTTAATTTGCCAAAGTCTCTGTGTGTGTGTGTGTGTGTATGTGTGTGTGTGGTTTTGTTTTACTTTGTTATGTTTGGGGAAGGATCTTGCCATATAGCCCAGGTTGACTCCAACTCTTGATCCTCCTGCCTCAGCCTCTAGAGTGCTGGGATTACAAGCATATGCCTAACTGGAAATTTATCCTTTGCCAATATTACAGGAGAAATGAATTAATACTCATATCAATCAGCTCTTTATTTTATATCCTTTAAACAGTGCTCTGGGGTATTGATTTTTACTTATATTTTACAAACAAAAACTGAATCTCATGGAGAATAATTTGGCTCTTATACTTGGTAAGTAGTGAAGCAATGATTTAAAACCAGATCTGTCTCCTGTTTGTTTCACAGATTGCTGAGGCAGAAGCAGACAAGATTAAAAAGACATACCCTCCAGGTAAAAAGAAATCACACTACTGTCCAATTAATAATGTAGGCCACAAAGCTCTAAACTAAAATGGATTTGTCTGGCTTGGAACTTTTCTTCCAGAAAACAAGCCAAGTGAAAGCAATTATTCTTTTGTCAATAACTTGAATCTGCTAAAGGCAATAACAGAAAAGGAGAAAGTTGAAAAAGAAAGACAATCCATAAGAAGTCCCCCCTTTGATAACAAATTGAATGTGGAAGATGTCGATTCAACCAAAAATCGAAAGCTGATTGATGAATATGATTCTACAAAGAGTGGCTTGGACCGTAAATTTCAAGGTAAATGATTACAAACAACATTTTGCTGCTTTTTTTCTGATTTGCAGGGTCTCATTACTGGTTACTTTTAAAGAAAATCTAATATGCTCATAATCTTTTATTTGTCAAATCCAAAGTTGTGATAAAGCCAAAATTTACTGATGATTTGCAAAAACACACAGAGTCCTAAGTTTCTCTTGAAAGTTTCCTTTACACACCAGGCGTGGTGGCTCAAACCTGTTTTCCCAATGTTCAAGAGGCTAAAGCAAGAGAATTGCCTTAAGTTTGAGGCCAACCTGGGCAACATAAAGTGCTAGGCCAGCTGGACCCTGTGTTCAGAAAAACAATAATAATGATGGTGATTAGTTGCCCTTACTGATGCTTTGAAAACCTTTTAAATCTACTGTTTATATTTCATATTATTGGATTCATTTTGCTATTTGTATTTTTTTTAATACTAGTACAAAAAATGTCATTTCCTCAAATAATTAGATCAATAAATACCCCCTAAAAGGCAAAAGGCCCATTGTTTTCTTTTCAGTAGTCTCATAGCCACATCCTCTAGCCTTTGGTCTCTAGCCTTTCTACGTCTTCCTTTCCATCTATGCGCCCATCTCCCAAATCCTAACCCAGACTTCTCTGAGACTTCTCCCAGACCTATTTCCTACCTAAAATCTTCCATTGGACATTTCAGGTGCAGAATGGACACATCCAAAGGTCAACACTTGACCTCTGTCCACCCCAAAAGCCCCCTTCAAGAGATCTTTCTTTAGGAACTGTGATGTTGTTTATCCAATTTTTTTTCAGAGCAAAAATCTAGAATTGAACTATTTCTCTTTTTCCTCATCTCTCAAATTCTAATCTGCCAAATTTTATAAATTTTGCTCTCCATGTTAACTCTCAATTTTCTTTTTACAAACAAGCAAACTGGACTGTCCTCAGTCACCAATCCTTATCCAATATCAACCACATCTCATTTGAATTACAGCAAAATCTTTTACAGATCTCCCAACAGCTACATTACATTTCTTCAGTCTGTTCTTGTTGTGACAGCCAGAGCGGCCCTCTAAACTCACAAATATGAAAGACTGAAATATGTGCATGCCATTCTTGGTGGGAACACTCAGGATTGAACCCAGGGCTTCATGCATGTTAGATAAGCACTCTACCACTGAGCTACAACAACAGACCCCTTGGGATTTTTTTTTTCTTCTTTTGAGACACTGCCTCCTATATAGTCCAGGCTGGTCTTGAACTCCTCTTGCCTCAGTCTCCCGAGTGCTGGGATTTACAGGTATGTGCTGCTGTACCCAGCATACCCTTTACCATGTAGCTCAGGCTGACCTCGAACTTGTGGTTCTTTTGCCTCTATTTTCTGGATGCTAGGATTACACAAGTGTGATGAGCATGCCACTTCTTTGGGTTGTTGCTGTTGTTTGGTTGACTGCTTTTGTTTTTGTTTTGCATAAATCTCTTTAGTAGATTCCCATTTCTCTAGTGAAAAAACTTCAAATCTTTAATATGGCTCCTGTCTACATTTCTAGATTTGTCCATTATATATGATCTGATAAAAATCTTATTCCTTACTTTCATAGAACTTAATGTGGTTGGTACTTTTATATTTGTAACTGTAACTACCTATGATTAATGCCTTTATCAAAAACTACACTGAAAACCTCACAAGAACAGAGACATTATAGGCCAGTGCCTGAATTCTAGTAAATTCAGTGCATGCCTTTATGAACAAATAAAGAATGTGTGAGAGAATAAGTGAATTGTTGTATGTAGACATTAGGAAGAGAGCGTCTTTTCCATTCTACAGACCAGTGCTTAGGAGTGAGTGCAGGCTTTATTCTCTGTCCTTATTTTGTTTCATGGCAACGAGAGAATCATGCTGATTATCTTTGCCAGAAAACAACTGCCAGTTAAATGGGACTTTCATAAAACATCACAGCCTGAGGAGAGTTCAGAAGCAAATTGTATGTACAGGGTACATGGAGACAATAGTTTATGTTTTGCTACTTGGAGAATTTAAATCTTGAATTCTATGTTATAACCTAAAATATTTTAAGTGGAAACAGACAGACACTGAGCATGACTGGATCAGAAACAGATTTAATCACTTCAGTCAAAGTGAGGGTTTGGTTTAATAAAATAAAAAGAATTGAATGTTTGTTTGACTTGATCAGTCACACTGGTTATTAACACCAGCAGGGACACAGATTTGTTTGTGATTTGACCACTAACTTGAGCAACTACTTTTTAAAAATTATTTATTTTGACGGGTGTGGTGGTGCACACCTTTAATCCCAGCACTCGGGAGGCAGAGGCAGGGGGATCTCTGTGGGTTCAAGGCCAGCCTGGTCTACATAGTGAGTTAAACCCTGTCTCAAAAAAAAAAAGACCAAAAAAATATTTATTTTACTACCAGCTCAAGTGGGTTTAGAACTATAGAGCTAGTCCTAGTGGCTTTAGGCTTACTCTAGGACACTGTCATTTTTTTTTTTTTTGAGACTCACTATGTATCCTGGCTAGCCTGGAACTTGCTATGTAGACCAAGCTGGCCTCAAACTGACAGAGATCTACCTGCCTCTGCCTCCTGAGTGCTGCGATTAAAGATGTGTACCACCACACCCAGCTAGGAGTTATTTTTTAAGGTTTTTGTTTTGTTTTGTTTTGTTTTGTTTTGTTTTTTTTTTTTTTTTTTTTGTTTATTTGGGTGTCTTCACATGCCTGAAGAGAAAGAAGAGGGAGTTGGAGCCCCTGGAGCTGGTGTTACAGGCAGTTAGTTGTGAGCCCCTTGATGAAGGTACTGGGAACTAAAGTCAGGACTTCTGGAAGTGCAGGTGCTCTTAACTACTGAGTCATCTTTTCAACCCCCTTAGGAGTTATTTTAACTCTACTTGAAATCATAGAGAAACTAAGTCAGTGATCTTAGAATGTTTTAAGGGCCAACTTCTAGTTTTCATTCATACCTGGAAATCCTAAAACAAGAGGGTTTAGACCCACCAAGGTGAATAGAACATTAGAGACATCCAGAGTTCACCCCAGAAGGCAGGTGAGTGAGACTCCCCTCAGCGCTCTAGGGCCTATCAATTCTTTTCAGTATTTTCTGTAGTATGCATAATTCAGGATCCTTCTCAGTTTATTTTTATGTTATCATGCTGTGGGCTTCTGTGTGTATTCACCTAGCAGATACTTATAATTATTGTTTCAGACTCTGAACTAGATGATGAGCTCTGTGCAACTAAGGACCATGTTAAACATAGTCATCACTACTTCTAGTGTCTGGAATTTGTTAAGACTTTCATTCAATTTTATGGAACAAATAAGTTCTGAGTATTATATTTGCTACTAGGGATGCAAGGCATAGCCAGGAAGATAATGACTCAGGGCATGGGCCTTTGACATCCACACAGACTGCTGTAGTTGCCTAAAAGGTATACATTTTGAATCCATGTTGGCTTCTTTCTGACTTTTTGCACAGAGAGCATTCCTTACTGCACAGTAGGGAAATCATAGTGAAATTTTCTGTCCATTTTCAAAGAGCTTGGGGAAATAGATGGAAGGTAAGGGGATGTGAACAAGTGCCCCACTGTTAGTGGCATCTAGCAAAGTTCCACTACGGGAGACCTGAGTTGCTGGCCCAAGAGACTACAGCGGCACAGTGCAGGAAAGAGGCCATTTCTTCTGTGAGTTACCAACATTCTTCCTGTTGTGAAGTAAATGAATTGAAAAATAGCCATCAGTTATTTTCCAGCTTCAGCAGGCAGCCAACATCCTTCCTTTCTGTGACCTTGAGGGATAGGAAAGGAGGGAAGTAAATTCTTCCACCTCTGCATAGATGAGGGCAGACTATATTCCCAAGAGCCTAACTCACAACCAACAAATGGAAAACTCAGGCACAAATGAGAAATAGATAGCAAATCCCACTTCCAGCCAGCCAAGAGGAGAACTGATTTTGTGATTTTTGTTACCCTGATACTCAGGTCTCTGAGAACTCACAGCTTAACAAGAGCTAGCCCTTTGTGTATAATCACCACCCATTTTAGCAAGTTTATTTCCAAACAAGAGAAAGAAGGTATTCTACCTGAGGCTACATATACCATCTCCATAGAGTCTAGAAGAAAGGCTGCCAATCCCCAAAAGCATTGGGGAAAAGGGGCAGAATTGGGAATGAAATACTAAGATGTTCCCTCTTCGAGTAAAAATGCTAAAGATATGCTTAACAAATCTGACCAAGGATTCAATTTCCATTTTCTCTAAATAATAATCACAGTTCCTTTATTTAAAAAATCTAAATCTGGGGGCTGGAGAGATGGTACAGTGGTTAAGAGCACTGACTGCTCTTGCAGAGGACCTGGGTTCGATTCCCAGCACCCACATGGCAGCTACGAACCATCCTTAACTCCAGTTCCAGGAGAATCCAAAGAACTCTTCTGACCTCCACAGCATTGCACGACACAGGTGCACTCACATACATGCAGGCAATACACTCATACACATAAAACAAAAATAATAAAATATTTTAAAAAAAATCTAAGTCTGGAGTCAGCTCAGCAATTAAGAGCACTCACTGTTCTTGCAGAGGACCCAGGTTCAGTTCACCCACATAACATATAACAAACATCTGTAACTTCAGTTTCAGGGGATCTGACACCTTCTTCTGATCTCCATGGGCATTGCATGACACAGGTATACTTACATGCATGCAAGAAATACGCTCATACGAATAAAATAAATATATTTTTTTTCAAACTCTAAATCCAGTGTACATAATTACAATAACACACCCACTTTCTTTCAGTACTGTGTGATTTAAAAGGTGCTTTTAACATCTATTTCATCTGATTCTCACAACAACCCCATTAAAACCCCATTAAGTCCACATCCTTATTACTCATCTTCATTTGTTTTGTTTTGTTTTCTGTATTGGGAATCCTTGCAACTGCTAGGCAAGCACTCTAGCACTGAGCTGAACAGGCAGCCCAATAAGTTTATTCTTTACAGTGGTCCAAGGTTACATAGAGGACACGAGGTATCACTTTTCTATCTGCGTAGATGTGACTGGGAGAGTGAAGTGTCTTGTTAGTTGTGGTATAGGTGCCTGGGATTATCACTTTAGTAGTACAAAGCTTCATCACTATTGGCCCTTTTCCCCATTTTTATTTGGGGTTTTGGTTTTATTTATTTTTGTCTCATCCTGATTTTTTTATGTGTATGAGTGTTAGGTCTACATGCATGTATGTAAGTGCAGCAGTGTCATGCAGTGCCCACGAAGGTCAGAAGAAGGTGTTGAATCCCCTGGAATTGTAATTATGGATGGTTGTTAGCCTCCATGTGGGTGCTGGGATTCAACCCTGGGTCTATAGCCAAGGCTAGCCTCAAACTCATGCCAACCCTCTTCAGGCTCCCAAGTGCTGAGACTGCAGGTGTGAGCCATCACACCCTTTTCCCTCATTAAGGCTGAGCCCTTACTTTAGTTTGAAGTAATGCTGCCAAATGTATTCCCAGAAAACTAAGGACACATATTGGCAGGCTTCTCTGCAAAGATTTGCATATTGTTTGTGCAGGTCTGTTGCTTTATTTTAAAGTTTTGATTCCAACCTCATAAAATAAGTTCCCTATCCTTTGGAGATTGGAGTTTATCACTTTAAGCTTTGTTACATAAAGGTACTCTGACAGTTGGGCACGATGGTGCACACCTGTGATCTCAGCACTCAAGAGGCTGGAGGACTGCTGAAAGTTCAAGGCCAAGTGGGCTGTATAGTAAGTTCCAGGCCAGCTAGGGCAATACAGTGAGACCCTGTGTCAGAATGAATAAATGAATGAATGCACCCTGGGACTGGTTCAATTAGAAGTAAATATTCCAGGTAGAGCAAGAAAAAATTTCAGTTTATAATTAATCTGATTCTAGGAAAGGCAAGCTTCCTCATCCCCAACCCAGGAATTTTCCAGCAAAGGGAGGATGTGTGGGAATATTACTACCCTGCTCCCAAAACAGAAACAGAAAGCCAAATTAGATACTATACAGAAGAATGCTTTGAATAATATGGCATACTATGTAAATACAGCATTCTATGTAAATGAAAAGTACAGGACCTGCATGATTGAAGGAGAGAACAGACTCTTATGCGTTGCCTTTTGACCTCCACGCATGCGCTGTGGCATGTGTATACATACACAAAATAAACAAAAACTTAAATATTTTTTTGGAAGAGTTCATGTGGGGTGGGAAAGCTGGCATAGTGAATAAAAAGCTTGCTGCACAAGCCTGATAACCCAGATTCTATCCCCAGAATCCATGTAAGGGTGAAAGGAGAGAACCAACTCTACAAAGTTGTCCTTTGATTTTCATGCATGGGCCATGGCACTTACATGCTCACACACATATCATTCATAAACACAATAATAAGTTTAAAATGAAAAATTTTAAATATTTTATTTATTATTTTTATTTTATGTGTATGAGTGTTATGCCTGCATGTAAAGTAAGTATACCCGTGTTGTGCAATGCCTGCGGAGGACAGAAGAGGCTGTCCGATCCCCTGGAACTGGAGTTACGGATAGTTGTTAGCTCCCATATGGGTGCTGGGATTCACCTGGGTCTTCTGCAAGAATAGTCAGTGTTCCTAAACACTGAGCCATCTCTCCAGCCCCCTAAAATAAAATATTTTTTATACTTTTGGGGGGGGGTCTTTTTGAGGCAGGGTCTCCCTCTAGCTCTAGCTGGCCTGGAATGCACTATGTAGATCAGGCTGGCCTCGAACTCATAGAGATCTGCCTGCCTTTGTCTCCCAAGAAAATAATTTTTTAAAATTAAAGATAAGTAAAAAGAGGGGGCTGGAGAAATGGCTCAGCAGTTAAGAACACTGGTTGTTCTTGCAAAAGACCTGAGTTCGAATCCCAGCACCCATATGGCAGCTAACAACTCCATAACTCCAGTCCCAGGGGATCCAACAGCCTCTTCTGACCTTTGCAGGCATTGCATGACACAGGTGCACTTACCTACATGTAGGCAATACACGCATACACATAAAATAAAAATAATAAATAAAAATTTTTTCAAAGTTTTTAAATAAAAGTTCAAGATCATTCTTGGCTATTACAGTGAGGTTTAAAATTTATTTTATTATTTTTATTTTATGTGTATGAGTGTGTGGCTTGCATGGATGTAAGTTCATCTGTATCATGCAGTGCCCATGGAGGTCTGAAGAGGGCATTGAATCCATGGAAGTAGAGTTGCAAATAGTTGTTAGCCATCGTGTGGGTGCTGGGAATAGAATCTGGGTCCTCCACAAGAGCAGACAGTGCTCTTAACCACTGAGCCATCTCTCCAGCATGCCCCTCCCCACCCCCATGATGTTTTTAAGACTTGCCTGGATTATATAAGAGACTGTCTCTAAATAAATAAATACATAAATAAATAGTTCATGTGACCAAGCATCACCAGAAGTACATCTCCAATGGGCCAGAGATAGCTCAGTGGGTAAAGGTACTTGCTGTCAAGCCTGACAACCTGAGTTATATCCCTAGGACCCACATGGTAGAGGGAGAGAACCAATAATCAAAAGTTGTTCTCTGACTTCCATACCTACACCATGTCATACACACACCCACACATGTACACACAATAAATAAATAATAAATAAATAGGTAAATATTTTTAATTTTGGGTTTTTTGTTTGTTTGTTTTTGAGACAGGGTCTCCCTGTAGTCCCACCTGGCCTGGAACTCCCTATGTAGACCAGGCTGATTTTGAACCCACTGAGATTCTCCAGCCTCTGCCTCCTGAGTGCTGGGATTAAAGATGCAGGCCACCACGCCTGGCACAAACAGGTAAATAAATGTAATCAAAGAAAATTTAAACTTTTTTTGGTCTTTTTGAGACAGGGTCTCCCTGTTGCCCCTCTGGAACTCACTATGTAGATTAGGCTGGCCTTGTACTCATGAGATCCTCCTGCCTCTGCCTCTGGGATTATAGGCACACACCACCATGCCCGACCTAGAAAATTTAAGATTTTAAAAGAAAAGTATACATTATTATAATATGATGTATGAAATAGGTCTGTGATCACCATGATATGAAGTTGTGGTTGCTCTGTCTAGATGATCCAGATGGTCTTCATCAACTAGATGGAACTCCTTTAACTGCTGAAGACATTGTCCACAAAATTGCTACCAGGATTTATGAGGAGAATGACAGAGGAGTGTTTGACAAGATTGTTTCTAAACTGCTGAATCTTGGCCTAGTAAGTTGTATGCACAAAAGTAAACCCAATGCCTATGGCAGTCTACAGTGCCCTGCCTGAGAAGCCAAGCCTCTTAATTCAAATAGCTAAATGTGGACAATACACTGACTTTATTCTGGACTTCATGGGATTCCCTTGAGGAGTTTACCAGAAGTAGCTAAGCACACACATAAAGCTGTTACAAGCCATGTGAGCTGTGCAGCTTGACAGAGAATGGCTTGTACCCAGTTGCGGGTAAGGAGAGGGTCCAGAGAAAGAGGTATTTGAAATAAATTTGGAAGGGAAGTTAGGATGTAACCAGCAGAGATAAAGGACATGTGGGGCAAAACCAGAAAATACATACTTGCAATATGTATTTGAGAAACTCTAAGCAATTGGATCTCCCCTTGGTCTCAGCTTGGCTGCTCAGTCTGGACACAGCCTCATCAGGTTTTACTAAGGTACTTACTTTATAGTTTCAAGGGTTACATGATCATATGACCTGCAGTTGTAGTCTCCAAATATTTCTTAAAGGAAACATCCCTTGGGGTTTCAGCAGGCAGCACTGACAGTTCAAAAGACTCCTTTTTAAAAAAAATATATGTTCATGCTGGAGAGATGGCTAAGCAGTTAAGAGCATTGACTGATCTTACAGAGGACCCGGGCTCGATTCCCAGCACCCAAATGGCGACTATGAACCATCCTTAACTCCAGTTCCAGGGGAATCCGAAGCCCTCTTCTGACCTCCGCAGCATTGCACAACACGGGTGCACTCACATACATGCAGGCAATACACTCATACACATAAAATAAAAATAATAAATATTTAAATATATATATGTTCATCTAGAGAAAACACTTGACCTTAGCCAAAAAGCCAAGAAGACTTTCAACTAGAGTGTAGTGTTGTTCTTGTTTTAATCCCAAAAGTAGGAATAGCAGTTATATATTTTTGCCTTTTTGTAACAGATCACCGAAAGCCAGGCACACACTCTGGAAGATGAGGTAGCAGAGGCTCTACAAAAATTGATTTCAAAGGAAGCCAACAACTATGAGGAGGACCTCAATAAACCCACAAGCAGGACAGAGAATCAGGCTGGAAAAATACCAGAGAAAGTGGTATGTATTTGTGTATTACGAGCATGTGCATGTGCATGGGCATGGATGTGTGTGCTCCTGTGTTTGTGTATACTTACTGCCTTACCTGATGCCAAAGAATATTTGAAATGTGTAGTGCCTTTAGCCTACTTAAAATGTATATTCAGCCACACATGGTGGCACGCGCCTTTAATCCCAGCACTCGGGAGGCCGAGGCAGGCAAACCTCTGTGAGTTCAAGGCCAGCCTGGTCTACATAGTGAGTTCCAGGCCAGCTGGGGCTACAGGGAGACCCTGTCTCAAAAAGACCAAAAGCAAACAAACAAAAATGTGTATTCACAGGACTGGAGAGTTGGCTTAACAGTTAAGAGCACATACTGCTTTTGCAGAGGACCTGGGTTCAATTCCCAGCACTCATATCTGGTGACTCATTACCCCCTGTGACCCCAGTTTCTGGACATCTAATGTCTCTGGCCTCCAGGGGCATCTGCATTCACGTGCACATACTTATAAATAGACATACACACATACACACACACACATATATATAATTTTAAAATAAAAATGAAATATTTAAA